CCATAGTGTACAGGGTGTCTCATAGGTCACACACCATAGTGTACAGGGTGTCTCATAGGTCACACACCATAGTGTACAGGGTGTCTCATAGGTCACACACCATAATGTACAGGGTGTCTCATAGGTCACCATAGTGTACAGGGTGTCTCATAGGTCACACACCATAGTGTACAGGGTGTCTCATAGGTCACACACCATAGTGTACAGGGTGTCTCATAGGTCACACACCAGTGTACAGGGTGTCTCATAGGTCACACACCATAGTGTACAGGGTGTCTCATAGGTCACACACCATAGTGTACAGGGTGTCTCATAGGTCACACACCATAGTGTACAGGGTGTCTCATAGGTCACACACCATAGTGTACAGGGTGTCTCATAGGTCACACACCATAGTGTACAGGGTGTCTCATAGGTCTCACACCATAGTGTACAGGGTGTCTCATAGGTCACACACACACCATAGTGTACAGGGTGTCTCATAGGTCTCACACCATAGTGTACAGGGTGTCTCATAGGTCACACACCATAATGTACAGGGTGTCTCATAGGTCTCACACCATAGTGTACAGGGTGTCTTATAGGTCACACACCATAGTGTACAGGGTGTCTCATAGGTCACACACCATAGTGTACAGGGTGTCTCATAGGTCACACACCATTGTGTATGAAACATCTTGTACTGTATAACTTAGAACTTTACAGACTCTGGTCTTGTCACCCACCAGCCAGTGTTTGTATACCTTTCCCTTAACACGAAACAGGTGACACGCCCAGTTGAGATACTGTACAGTCTTGGTGCATTTCTGAAGCCATATTTCTGCTGTAGTCTGACGATGCCAGTCCTTTGCTTTCAGGGACGGATTCAGGAATATCAAAAGGGGGGTCCAAGAAGTTGTAGGTGGGGGAACAAGACGAGGTAAGCGAGCCCAAGCAGCTGGGGTATTTGGGGGAACGGTGTGAGCCTCCCCCACAGATTTTTTTTTTTAATCAGACCAATATCATGGGCATTTTAAGGCCATGTACACTTGATATTAGATGATTTTCTGAGGTCAATAATAAATACTTTTTCATACAAAAACGCCTAAGTACAATACTGCATTAAAGAAAAAATATTAAAATATTCTGATGAAAATGGGGGTCCGGATACCCAGGATCCTCCCTTAGCTTTTCCATGGAATCAAGATTATTGCTAAGTGAATTACAACGCGTTTACTGCAAATTGAATCACTATACATTATGTTTCATAGAAAGTGAAGCTTAAAGCACGTAAAAAAAAAGATCCCGGAAAAAAGTCCCTCAGTAAAAGATATAAACCATTTTAATAAAGTTTGTAGAAGCTCTTGAGATAAGGGTAAGAAAGATTTCCGTCAGACAGCGACGAGTACCTCAGAGCAGTAGGAAATATTTGCTAAAAAACACACAAGAGCCCAAACATTGTATGTATGTATGTATTATGTATGTATGTATTATGTATGTATGTATGTATGTATTATGTATGTATGTATGTATGTGGGCGTGTGTAACCAATAAAGTAATGTGATCAACCCTACTGTAGTGTTACCTTACTTCCACTAACCTAACCTGACGGTGTTTCCTGTTTTTGTTACTTTGTTATATGATTTTTATTGAAGGAGAAAAACTGCCATGTTTGGTAGTGTCAAACTGGATGACAACCTTCTCACATCTGTCCCGGGACGTGTACTAAACTTAGGGTGCACTGAGAAAAGGTGTTCATAGTTCTCCCACTTGGAAACCCAATGCTTCACTACCCTGAGAACAGTAGATAAATATAGGAAAACTCTGACTCCAGGATCTCCCAACCTCATCTCTCTGAAAATAAGCATCCTATTGCTTTGTTGACTATCCTTGATCATACTATTGGTTGTATACATTCATGGTGTATGTATAGTCGCCAACTAAAGTCCTGTCGCCTCTCCTTCTGAACCACGAACCCTGAGATACAGACTCGTTACTCCCAAGCATTTTTGGACACAATAATGCATCAGTGTCTAATGCTTCAGGTTCACGAGTCTGAATCTCGGGGTTCGTGGAGCAGCAGGAGAGGCGATAAGCCTTTTTGTGGGTGACCGTTACTCATATACCTGCATTGATTATACATGCTAAAATTTATACCTGCATTGTCTACAGTATATATTGTACAGTACATGCTGAACTAATTGTGAACTTATTTGAAAATTCTACTGAATATCTATCTTTCTATCCCACTGCCTAATGCGGTGTCACTGATGTGCGTCTCGTGTTTAGCAGGCATGTGTGTTGTAAGGTGTCGGGCAGTAACTTAATGTGGTAAGGGATCTTTATAGACACGACTATAATGGATCTTATAATGTATTCCGTGTATTGATCCCAGATATCATGGCTTATATATATATATATATATTATCAACAGTAATCCTCGTTTATCATTCTGTTTGGTAGCAGCGCGTTTGTTGAACACACACACACACACTATAGCAATGATGGAGTGTGCTCTTTGGTAACAAGTTACGTTGGTCCCCTGTTCACATTAGTGTCACTTATCTTCAATACTTCTTGTCTTATCTGCAAGTTATGAACCTTCGTGCCTGACGTGTGTCCCCGGGAGCGTCAGTTATCATAGTGTTCCTCATATATACCACCGTAGTGACCCTTGAACCGCGGAATGTGTCAATGTACTATCATAGCTCTCTCTCTATTCTGAGTTATCTCAACCCGCACTTTTAACGTACATTGTTTGTATACGGTCCTGCACTGTCTAAGTGCATCGGAAATGCATATATAAAATACAGGAACTGCATACAAGGACTAACGAATCCGAAGTATTTAAGCATTTATAAACAGAATATTGCATCAGTGTCTACTGCTTTGGGTCGGGTTCACGAGTCTGAATCTCGGGGTTCGTGACTCAGGAGGAGAGGCGACAGGACCTTTGTGGGTGACTGTACTGTATAATTTAACCTAACCAGAGAAACAAGAAGTACCTGACAAAACCTACTATCCAGGGGATAACAAAACCTAACCTAAACTAACTTTACCTACCCAAAACTTACCTCAATTAACAGATGCAGGAGGATAAAGCGATGCTACTTGAAAGGAGGTGGTGCAGTATGGAGTTTGGAACATGAACCGCGCGAAATCGAGATCTCTTTTTCTTGGTGAGTGTCTGTGTCTTTTACTGCAATACCAAGCTTGGCGATCTTGACGATATAGACAGTCTGAATTACACTTTGGACACTACTGAACTAAGGAGAACACCACGAGACTTAAAAGACGTCAACAGCTGCGGCTTCGTTCTCAAACACTCATTGAATTTCACGCCAGTTCTCCAACGAGCTGCCTTAGCAGACATCTTCCCACTAATTCACTCACGTGTCATCGAGGCTTGTGCTGATTGGCTGAATTAGAAAAAAACAAATTGTATACCTGTGAATTTATACTTTCTGAAGTGAAATAAAAAAAGGAAAAATAACGCGAAAATTATAAATTTAGCCGAAAACACAATCTAATAAAACATTCTTAGTTTGTTGGGTGTATCTCCTTGTATCAATTGTGTTGAGTGTGAGCTGGTCAGTACCACCGTCGCTTTCTTCCACACAATCAATTTCATCCGTTTTCTATGTCTAAGAATATCGGCTATAACTTAATCCTTCTTCGTGTACTGTTTCTATCGTCTTTTTCCTTCTTTCAAGAGTAATAAAGAATGGTCACATTTATTTCTTCTTTTTTATCTAAACTACCTATCACTATTATTTTCAGTGATGATATGCAGAGTTGTCCAGCCATGTGTTTGTTTGTCAAATAACTGGAAGACTTCTCCAATAGGTGTTGTTGTTGGTTTGGGTCTCTCTTTCATAATATTTCTGCTCATAATTTTACCTAATGGATGTAAACGCTGCTTCGTGCTTTATTAAACTTCATTGACTTTTCATTATCTTGGCGTTAGTTATAGTATTCTTATTCAGGTTACTCTAATAAAGTATCATAGTATGCGGCCACTGGCGAAGAAGAAAAAATAATCTGATGAATTGAAGCAGTGAACAGGCAATGCTCTAATAATAAGTTATTAGGGTTTTGCCTACTGGACAAAGGTGATCCACCACTGGATCCTACTACTACATGAGGAGACCGGAAACTGCCAATTACCAGAAGAATGGGGGAAATTATGAAGGTATTCATTGAGGATTGGGCTGAAATTGGCTAACATGATGTACGACAGTCGAGATTTGACCGATGTCGAAGGCAGCAAGGCCAAGCCAGGCTATGTTCGTACTGCCACCCAGGGAAGTTGCTTTATGACACATCAGTGAAATGTGCACATTGGAAATATTTCCCCAACGTTATCACAGCGGTCGTAGCTAGGCCACATTAGTTGTTAAAAATTGTGTAACTATTATACTGTACTTGGGGTAATGCTATCAAAATATCTTATATTGGCTATCTCTAAATAGCTGCTCCATTTAAAACCTTATGATTCAGTTTATAGGCTTATCATGACAAAGTTCTTCATCATGAAGTCGTATGCATCTCTCACAGAGTCATCAAGAAACACTGGACAAAGGACCCTCCTGGAAATAAGCAGCTGACGGCTTGGTCAAGTTTGTCTTACTGTTTACCATTGTGGTTTACCTGCACTGTCTCGACAGACAGGTAACTGCATACTCCTACGGCCTACATACACCCGACATATCTATATCTTTATGTTCATGATGAACTGTATAGTTACATAATTTATAAACAAGCTTATACAATTATAAACCTACATGACAATTAAACTGAAAAATAATTATCATATCTTTTAGTTTAACGGGAACGTTAATACAAGTGCTCCTTTGTTACTGTGAGGTGGTCAACTCGGGGCAAGTTTTTAGTGCCTCAATGTGGTGCAATACTCTTACTCAAGTTACCTCACCAAGAGGTAATTATACGAGTTATATTCAGTATCTGTGCCGTGTGGCACTCGTGACATAAATGACAGAATGGATAAAAGTAAACAACAATTGACATGTATAAAAAATATCATAATGTATTTTGTCCTTAAAAGGATAGAAATATATCACATATACAGAAGACCAAGCGCAGTAAAACCCACGCAAAGAATCCACCAGCACAGCTGAGGGAAAGAAGTGATTTAACGCTAAAGTAGCATTAAAAGTGCCATTTGATAATGAGGTAAATGTGCAATCCATTGATATGCGAAGAAACCCCTAGAGGCTGACCACCTTAAGTCAATATTACGAGGAAGCCTTCAGACAGCATCATGAAATAGACCGAGACAATACACTGATGGCTTCAACAAGAGAAGTATTTATAAGAAACCGTATGTGGAGTGTCCTCGGTGGGTAAGTCGAGTCCGACTAGCATTGCCATTGAATAAAATGATTGTCTCTACAGAAGCTCGCAGCTTCGTGACTCCAGCTGCACTATCTTCAAAATGTTTACATTTTCTCGATTCTCTTCCCCAACATCTTGAGTTGTTCCCGCACCTCGTTAGGCACATCGTCGCCAACTTGTTCGTCAAAGTACTTAGCGATGTCGCGCACTTCCTGCTCCCAGAACTCCTTAGGAAGGCTGAACAGCTCATCCATATCAACGTTCTCGTGTTCCAGGCCATCCATGTTGATGGAGGACGCCTTTGGCAGGAGTCCTACGGCGCTCTCTTCTGCCACGTCCTCACCGTCAACACGCTTCAGGATCCAGTCCAAGACGCGCACATTGTCCCCGAAACCTGGCCAGATGAAGCGTCCCTTTTCACTCTTGCGGAACCAGTTGACGTGGAAGATCTTGGGAAGAGGCTTGTCTGTGCGGGTCTCCATACTCAGCCAGTGTTGAAGGTAGTGACCGAAGTTGTAACCGAAGAATGGTCTCATGGCGAAGGGGTCGTGCATGATGACCTTACCCTTGTGTTCAGCTGCTGCCGTCGCCTCGGATCTCATGCTTCCTCCCACCATGACGCCGTGCTTCCAGTTGAAGGCCTCGTACACCAAGGGCACACCTTGAGGACGTCTTCCACCGAAGAGAATGGCAGAGATGGGTACGCCCTTAGGATCTTCCCAGGCGGGGTCAATGATGGGACACTGGCCGGCTGGGGTGCAGAATCTGGAGTTGGGGTGAGCGGCTGGCTTGCCAGATTCTTTACTCCAATTTGTATCTCCCAGCCAGGATGTGATGGTGACGTCGTTGTCAATCTCCTTCTCCAGGCCCTCCCAGAACACACCTCCATCACTCGTCTTGGCAACATTGGTGAAGAGTGTGTTGGAGAGAACCGTCTTCATGGCTACAGGATTAGTGTGCATGGAGGTGCCGGGAGCCACGCCAAAGAAGCCATTTTCAGGGTTGATGGCACGCAAGACACCATCCTCGTCAAATTTCATCCAAGCGATATCATCACCCACGCACTCTACTTTGTAGCCGGGCAGAGACGGTGTCATCATAGCCAAGTTGGTCTTGCCACAGGCAGAGGGGAAAGCGGCAGCAATGTACTTCTTGATGCCCTCAGGGTTGGTGATGCCCAGGATGAGCATGTGTTCAGCCAACCAACCTTCACGTCTGGCAATGTTGGAACCAATGCGCAGAGCAAAACACTTTTTGCCCAGTAACGAGTTGCCTCCGTAACCCGAGCCAAAGGAAACGATCTCGTTAGTGTCGGGGACGTGGGTGACGATGGTTCGGGCGGGGTCACAGGGCCAGTTGTTAACAAGAGTCTTCTTGAGGGGCAGTGGACAACCAACTGAGTGAAGGCACTTGACGAAATCTTCTTGATCCAGAGTTTCCAGCACCTTACCGCCCATCCGCGTCATGGTGCGCATAGAGGCCACAACATAGGGAGAGTCTGTGACCTCAACGCCGATCTTGGAGAGCGATGAACCTACGGGTCCCATGGAGTAAGGCACGACATACATGGTCCTGCCAGACATACAGCCGGGGAAACGTTCCTGGACGGCGCTTTTCAGATCCTCATAAGACATCCAGTTGCCCAGAAGGCCCTTGACGCCTTCCTTAGGGGTAGGAATGGTGTCTCTTCGGTTTTTGGTCACAATGAACGTTTTGCTTTCCACGCGAGCAACATCTCCGGGGTCAGTGCGAGCCAACCAGCAGTTCTTGTACTTGGGCAGATGCTCGATCATGCCCGCTTGTTGCATCACGTTCAACAGGTGGCGCAGCTCACGTTCACTGCCATCACAGATGTGCACGTTCTCTGGTCGACAAAGTCTGGCGCTCTCCTCCACGAACGTCCGCACCTGTTGACAAAATTACGAACATTACTGTGTGGTGCTTAATAAGTTAACGTATATTGCTTATAAGACAATATATTCAAGAGTAAATTCTAACAATAATGTATACAGTACAAAGAGAAGGTAAAGCTGTTGAGACTGACCTTGGGCTTCAGGTCGGAGAGTTTGCCATGAATGACAGTGAGGCTGCGAGTCTGGAAGTCGAGGTTCTTCTTGGCTGCCTCAGAGGCGACCCTGGAGGCCTCTGCCAGCACACTGCTCAGTCTGGGGAAAAACAAAACACGTTTAACAATTTGAACTCTCCTCAACTATCATACACTGTCAAAACATAAAAGTACATGAACATATCAAAGTACGAGTCGCATGTGAAGAAGGTACTCGTAGTATATATAATTACTACCAGCGTCAACATTTGCCGAGGTAATTGTTCTACTGGCTACCTCTGGGTAATTCACCACAGAGTCGCTGCATGAACCACATCTGCTAGCGCCGCAGTGAGGAAGCATCATCCACCATTGGCAGATACATGGCGAGTTGTCACCCATGAAGTGCTACAGGATGCCCGGCTGTACATCAAATGTAATTTCTTGTTAGAACTTCAATAATCTTAAAGCTCTAAGAGGATAAAACACCAGACCACTTTTACCTGAGACACAGGAAGCTACGACAGCCCACGACGAACATCATTCTGCCGGCGTACAAATTCACTGCGACGTTTTCACTACACACATTCACACTTCAACACTCCTATGGTCGGTACACAAACTTGACGACTTTTACTGCACACACACGAGCTGATGCCTTCACTATTCGCTAACTAGTACACAACTGACACGCACACAATCCTCTTTTATAATGCTTTACTGCCTCTCCAAAGGGCAGTTGTGGGGCCCTGACTAAGACCAGGAAGAGGACACCTCAACTAGTCACCTACGTAAGAAACATGTGACGAACGAACAAGGAAAACGAGAAGTGTGGGACGTGAGGAGAATAGGTGAGAGATGGGAGAGAAAGGTGAGGGATAGATAAACAGTTGAGAAAGAAGGAGAGAGAGAGAGAGAGAGAGAGAGAGAGAGAGAGAGAGAGAGAGAGAGAGATATATATATATATATATATATATATATATCAACTTTTCTATTATAAACAAAACTCTTAACATTTTGTGAACAATAACACAGAAGACGGTCATATGTTCCGGTGCTCTCCCTGCCTCGCTGGGTCACAAATTTCTAGGATGGCTCACAAAATGCTAGCCTGGGTCACAAATTAGTAAGCTGGGTCACACGTTACTTAAGTGAGGGTAAGGGAGAGGCGAGGAAGGTGGGGGGAGGGGGGGAGAAGGAAGGAGGGTGGGTAAGGTCACCGTTTTAAGTCAGGTGTTGGGAACTTTAGGAACTTTCCACCTCTGCACCTCCTCGGTTCCCAGCCTCTCCCCGCCTCCCCGCCACCTAACCCATTAACAGTTATTTTCTCCGTTACACGTCTACAGGACCCGATAATCTAGATGCTGTTGATTAAAATGTCAAGTTGACCAGGTGTGGGAGACAGGTGTAGAGCGGTGGGTAGCTGCGGAGGTGTGGTGGTGGTGGGGGGGGGGCCAAGTCTGGAGGTGTAGAGGCAAGTGTGGAGGTGGTAGGCAAGTGTGGAGCTGGGAGGGTAAGTGTGGAAGGTGTAGGGGCACGTGTGGAGGTGTAGGGGCAAGTGTGGAGCTGGGAGGGTAAGTGTGGAAGGTGTAGGGGCAAGTGTGGAGCTGGGAGGCAAGTGTGGAAGTGTAGGAGCTAAGTGTGGAAGGTGTAGGGGCAAGTGTGGAGCTGGGAGGCAAGTGTGGAAGTGTAGGAGCAAGTGTGGAAGAAACGGCCAACTAAACAAAGTGCAGTAAGGAGAGTTGTTCCCACAGACTTGCTCACTAAACTATACTACACCATTATAATATACGGAAACAGTTTATATGTACTGTACTACAATTCATGACAAGTATAACAGCAAAGCATCTCAGACAAAAATGGACAACCTGCATTACTACTGAGAATATAATAAATATGACTACTAACACATATATACTATTTCAGTAATAACATCAATAACAATTACAAATTATGAGAAATACAACTCGCGAATATTTATCTAGTGAATCACAAGCATCCAACATAAGCCAGGTTCGTGTGCTAATATATGTACCTCTGCCTACTAGAGTCACTATGAACACTCCTGACGGCCTATACATCACAAAATTACACTAAAATTATGTTCTTCCATATTGTCAATGTCTATTAGGTGAGAGTTAGAGCACAAAATCAGCCGAGAGATTAGTCTGGCGAGGGACTGGCCTGGTCTCGCCCAAGGCCTTTGTCTATGCTTTTGCGTATACATGTTCACCTCTTCGCTTTGTTCCTGACCAAAGACCAGCTGTGTTCTTTACTACTGTGACGTACACTAAACAAAGACCAGCTGTTCTTTACTACTGTGACGTACACTAAACAAAGACCAGCTGTTCTTTACTACTGTGACGTACACTAAACAAAGACCAGCTGTGTTCTTTACTACTGTGACGTACACTAAACAAAGACCAGCTGTTCTTTACTACTGTGACGTACACTAAACAAAGACCAGCTGTTCTTTACTACTGTGACGTACACTAAACAAAGACCAGCTGTTCTTTACTACTGTGACGTACACTAAACAAAGACCAGCTGTTCTTTACTACTATGACGTATTGATTTAGCAACTTACACATTACGTTAGTGTATAATCTTACAATCTTAACATGAAACATTAATAATTTTAAAACCAAACAACCTATATGCGCCTGACTGACAGGAGCATAATCAAAAATTTATAAATCGTAAAAGTCTTTATTTAACTATGACAAAACTACAAATATAAAGTAACCATTAAACATCTATAAAAAAATTCAGAATAAATTAGTCATTCACTCTTGACTATCTTACACAACAAGAACCACACAGTTACTAAGGCAGTACCATTTGGTTACTTTACACCCACCAGTAAACTTAACTTGTACTAGTCACTTGTTATATCGTGAAGTTAAGACACTCGATCGGTATACCGGTTAAACCAATCTTACTGAATCAATATATAAGTCTCACAGGGACCCACCTGGCCTCAGTCATGTTGTTGGCAGAGTTGTCAGTAGATAACACCATGTTGACGATGTTTGTTGGTGGTGGTAGAGATGGTAGAGTTATTGGCTCAAGTAGTGCTCAGCTTTGACCATTGCTAGTCAGCCTCGTTTGACAAATGGAAGTTGAGTGGCGCTCCCCTGTGGGTCGAGGGTTTATATTGGCCTCCGCTGACACGCGCACTCCCCCTACCGCCATCCTGACGTCATGGAGACATTGGACCGCGGACTTTGAGCTGTATAATCTACAGTACATCTCTCTCTCTCAAACTACCACTGCTGCAACGAACTTACTTTAGCAATACATCTACGTTAATAAATACCCATTTTAAAATAAAATAAATTATTTACCTATGAGTGTATTTATGTGATATATATGTAAAAACTATCACGCTTGGTTACTTCTACAGAAACGAGTGGAAACTGCCAGGATAGCTGGAGCGCGTCAGTAGCTGGAGCGCTGCGATTGGTTAGGGGTAACCGAGCCCCCAAGATCCTGGGCGATGATTGGCTTGCTGATACACACCTCCATGATGCGCATGGGCGTTGAAGTGACGCATCATACACACTTTACAACATAAGATACTGGTTCATAATTATGATCTCATCCGGGGGAAACATATCCAAGATTTCCCTGCAGTTTGAGCAATTATTGAGACAGTTCATGATCCGGGAACTACGATAATGCGGATAACTTAAACCAGTAAATATTGTATCTCGAACATTGCAGTTTAAACATAAAATAAAATCTCCTGATGACACACACACACACACACACACACACACACACACACACACACATGTAAAGACTAAAGCTAAGGTGCTACAGTTTTTACCTTTTCCTATGTGTTTCCTGAGTTTTATCTCCGTGTTACCAATGTGGTTCTGAGCCCCTGCTACTATGATTACCCTAAATGTAAGTAAATCGCCCTGAAAAAGAAGTATATATTTGGTCGTGATTTTTATATAGGAAGATAGAGAAAATATAAGAATACTAAAACATGCAAAACAATGACGAAGCCTAACCTAATCTAACGAGAGAAAGCAGAAGGACCTGACTTAACCTTACGACTCTCACACATAATCAGGAAACAAGACTTCCCCCAACACAAAGTAAAATGACTTTCCAAACTAAAGGAACTAAACCTAACTATGTCTTGCCCTAGTTAGGCCGCACCTCGATTATGCGGTTCAGTTCTGGTGCCCTTATTATAGAATGGATATCAATTCACTAGAGTCGGTGCAGCGAAGAATGACAAAAATGATTCCGGGACTTAGAAACCTTCCATATCAGGATAGGTTAAAGAAACTTAACTTGCATTCCCTAGAAAGACGAAGAGTGCGGGGAGAAATGATAGAAGTATTTAAGTGGGTGAAAGGAATCAATAAAGGGAATATAGATAAAGTTCTCATAATATCCGAGCAGGATAGGACTCGGAGCAACGGATTTAAGTTGGATAAGTTTAGGTTTAGGAGGGAGATAGGAAGGAACTGGTTCACAAATAGCGTGGTGGACGAGTGGAACAAGCTTAGCAACTTTGTAGTAAGTGCTGGAACTCTGGAAAGTTTTAAAAGGAGGCTAGATAGATTCATGGATGATAGAGAGTGGTAGTAACTCTCGACAGGAGCTGCCATGCACAGGCCAACCGGCCTATTGCAGACTCCTTATTTTCTTATGTTCTTATGTTCTTATATATATATATATATATATATATATCAGGTGCCTACAAAAGAGCTCAGGCTCTCAACTGGCTCAGTTATGTAAATATTGTTATTATTATCCACTCTGTAACTGCTTTTCTGGCTAAATAAACTGTTTCAATTCAATGCAAAAGGTTAGGTTAGACAGCGGCACCCTCCCTCCCTCCGCCAGCTGGCTTAGCAACACTCGGGTTTTCGCCATCCCTCCCCCAGTCCACCTATCGCCCCCCTCTCCTCCCCATCCCCAAGACCACCTAGATTCCCCTCCCTCTACCCCAGTACAACAACATTCACCCCTCCCCTCCCCTCCCCTCTAGTCCTCCTCTCAGTCATTCCTCCACACACACACACACACACACACACACACTTGTATAAAATCTCCCTAGCCAACTCAGCCACTCCCGCCATCCTCCTCCTCTACGCCACCACCACAACTCAGCTGCCCCCACCCCCACCACAACATCCCCCTCCTCCCAGCCAGCGAGAGGCGCCAGTAAGTCTAGGCAGTTACTAAAGGTTCCGTCGTTGCCAAGTTAAAGCCCAAGATCATACGCTTGTTGCTTGTGTGTGTGTGTGTGTGTGTGTGTGTAAGGTAGTGGTGTACTGTAATAGTGTACATTGGTATTGAGTAGTAGTATAACTGTATACAGTATGTACTTGTTTATGTACCTGTTAGCTGTACCTGTTCTTGTACTTGTTCACACACACACACACACACACACACAGGTTCGTACACTGGTAAAAGGACGTACCCAACTGATTAACTTCACGTAAACGAGATACCTTAACCAGATACGATCACTTAGCGCCAGTTAAGAGACTACATTAACGTACAGAATCTTTTCAACGAGTTCAATGTTAACGTTGTCTGGTTTTCGTTGAAGATATCTAGTTAATGTAGAAGAATCTCGGTGTAAATAAACAGATATTCCGTAAAATAGTCCCATAGGGTTTACACAATTGGTTCGATATGTATAGAGACAATGCAGGTGTATTGTTTAACATGTATATAGACAACATATGTATACAGCGAATATAGACTATACATATATATACAATTTCCAATGTACTTAGGGCGGGTTGACAAACAATGTACCAAGACGTTGCAGCTGTACAAAGAATGATGTACAGTGATCATTATAGTTTTATTGAACACTCTTTCCGTGTATTCTTATGTGTTCATTTATGGAAATTTAGTGTTAGAAATCCTTGAGAATAGCGACTTAGACACGTTAGGAAAATGTGAATATAGTGACTCTAGAATTTTTAACGCGTCATTTGGCGTCTCCTCTGCCTCTGTGTTGTGGTATTGACCCCTGGCCTTTATATATCAAGAGGCTATCGTAAATATAAAGGTATAGTGTAATTATATATCAAGGTCCCACTCACTCTATCGTTCAACCAATGATTATGAAAACACATCTCTAGCCTCAGATACAGCCATAGTCGTAGCTGAAGTTAACTACAGTACAATAATTAGGTTGCCGAGGTTACTTTTCATTAATGTGTCCCAGGTTCAATCCCAACCCCGGGACGAAAGTGAGAAGGGTATTATACAGTGTGACCCTATACAAGTTTTCCCAAGGGATTCTGGTTTCCCCACCGTTTCATACTGTACTAAACACTAGCCAATAAAGGTCATACCATAGAAACAAAGACCAAACTAAGTGACCGACCAACAGACTGACTAGTAAGTTGAATCGTGAAATGATAAATAAAAGAAGGAAAAATTTCACCACTGGGAGTGTCTTGGGCCCTTGGGACAAACTCACAGCTGAGGAACGTTTGTGTGAGAGATCTGAGAACTGGGCAGGGCACCAGAGATGGTCAACAGGATATGGTGTAACAAGTATGTACAGTCGTGGTTAAGTGACAGACTCCTTCGTAATACACTAGGTTAGGTTAGGGGAGGGGAGGTTAGGTTAGGTTAGGTTAGGGGAGGGGAGGTGACTGATTCTTCCGTATTACACAAGACGCCAGATTCTCAGAAGACAGAGAGTTAAAGTTTTCCTTAAATATTATGAGTTGGAGACGCTTCTGTTATCTTAAAAGACTCTAAGACTCAAAATGGTACTCAAGCTGCGACTCTACACTCATCTTGGGACTCAAGCTGCGACTCTACACTTAAACTGGAACTCTTAACTCAAGTTGGGACTCAAACTGAGACTCTTAACTCATGTTGGGGCTCAAGTTGGCACTGTAGACTCAAGCTGGGACTCTAAACTCAAGTTTGTACTCAAACTGGCACTCTAGACTCAAGCTGTAACTCTGGGACTGAGGTTGTAATGCTGATCACTTGATTGAAAGACGTCAGTGGTAAAGGGCGAAGCTGGTGTTCTTGCTCGGGTGATATTTGAATGTGTGTGTGTGTGTGTGTGTGTGTGTGTGTGTGTGTGTGTGTGTGTGTGTGTGTAGTTTCATTGACATTTCTTTACTCCTCAGTAATGACCTAAAGGGGATAAAAAAATTCAAATAATAATAATAAAAACAGCAACAAAAATAAAAATAATAACATCAACAAGAACAATAAAAACAAGAACAACATCAACACAACAACACTAATCACAATAAAAACATAAAAAAACAGTAATAACAAGTACAATAACAAAGTGTGACCCTCTATAAAGACATCACACGGGGAAGAAGAGCAGGTTAGCCACTGAACTTTGACCTTATATAAAATAGTCAAAAATATAACAGTGTTTAATATATATATATACCAGAGTTATGTGTAATTCATGATGTTAAATTGGATGAGAATAATTTAATATAATCTTTGTTATTTACGTATAATAATCAACTTCCTTTAAAATATCTAGATAAGAAAAGGTTATATAAGGTATCTTGACGGATTAAACCAACTAGTGAAATATTGACGAGGAAATAAAATAGTGAAGTTTATTTATTACTTATTTATAAACAAAGAAGAAAAACGAAAATTATTGTCTCTCTACTTATGAATGAACTTAATACTGAATGGCTAGGAACCCCCCCCCATCCCCGCCTTCTCTTGCCATAACTTCAATACTGACAAGAATTTCATTAAAACGCCATCTGTGTGAGGAAAATCTCTTACTCAATAATATTTGAAGTATTTTGGTGTCTAAGATTTTCAGTAGTAAAGAATATATATTATTTTGTTGAATGAAAAACTTGTAGGACTAATTTTAAGAGTGAGTGAGATTGTAAATGTACTACTGCACACACACATACACGATACACACACACACATACACGATACACACACGACATTATTCTTTAACAATTCTGAACCAAACGAGTATAAATTAAACCTTTATTTTGACTGACGACTAATTAACCTAACTTAACCTCAACTTCCTAACCTAACTTCACTTTTTAGGTTCGGTCGTTAGTTAGGTTAGGACAATGACTATACACGCAGTAGAACGATGCAGGTTAAGTTAGGTTATTAGGTTAGGTTA